ACCAGGGAGGACACGATAACCTGGACACTAGAGAACTCAGGAGAATACTCGGCAAAATCAGCGTATGAGGTACAATTTGCAGGACAGATCACCTCCAACTACCCGGTTTTGATTTGGAAGATATGGAAAATGCAAATTTTTCGTATGGCTGCTCCTCCAGGACAGGCTGTGGACAGCGGCGCGTCTACAGCTACGGGGATGGAAGAACAACTATTTTTGTGCGCTATGCGAAAGGAACCTGGAGACGGCGCAGAATCTGTTCTTTGAGTGCACCTACTCTAGGTCGGTCTGGCAGCTCGTCGCCTCCTGGAGCTCCTGCGACAGCCTAAACCCGGCTAACTGGAGGGATGAGCTCGGTCTAGAAGATTGGTACAGACAGACGTTGGGAACAGGGGGCAAGAAGGGACACACACTAGTTATTCTGACCCTGTGGATCATCTGGAACCGGCGGAACGCGGTTATTTTCAGAGGATGCTGGAAGACTCCACAGGCAACGTTCATGGAGATTAAGGACATGGCGCAGCAATGGTCCCTAGCAGGATGCAAAGCACTCAGGCCAACCACAGTTGTTCAAATCATTAGTGAATCATTAGCTAGGTAAACAACCCCCAACGCAGCCTAGGCTGTGGTGGGGAGCGCCGCTCGCGCATGTAAACTCTGGATGTTTGCTTCTCCACTTATTTTTAATCAAAGCCGGTTCGTCCAGATCTTTCAAAAAAAATATATCGATATAACAGATTATTTGCGATGGCTAATTATGCAATACAAACTAACAACACTTTGTTTATTAATTAGGAACTTCCACACACAAAGTTATTGCTTGGGCAGCAGGGTGCTCTTTGCACAAAGATATATAACATTGACTCAATCATAACCATATATACTACTGGAGTTGGAGTTCTCATGAGTTCCACTACTAGCTGCCGCTGCAGGGAAGTCATGAACCCTTGGAGCCGGAGGGTCATCAGCAGGTAGAGGGTCCACTTCCATGGTGCCCTCCATCATCCACAGCACGCTCCTCATCGTAACATATCTCAACTTCTAATACTAATGTAAGATAAAATTATAGGACTTTTAAGCACGAGTTGATTGGCTAGTCGTTACAAATCAAAGTACAAAAAAAAGGAAAATAATTGATAAAACAGATGTCCGTGGAACGGTACAGTAATGCCGGTTGATGCGGAAGATGTGGCACTGTTCAATGCGGCCACAGTAGTTACAGTCAGAAACGGGCACAAGGCTGTGGTTAAATGTTCCCATGATCCCATCCCAATACCAGACCAGCTAGTAAAACACTCTACTCTGCAAACTCAGTAGTACAGTTTAGTACTATATTAAAATATAGTCTTGCTTATTATATAACAATAGCTTAATTAGCCGTGCTAACGAACGAAGAATCTTGCGCAAGTCGCATCATTAGCAGCTTTTGCAGGATATGAAACCGACTGAGATCGAGCCTCCCACTACACACCCAACTGCTAGGCACGCAGAAAGATTGCTAACCTTTGTCTAGCGCGCGCATCCCCACATGGAAACCCTGCTAGCGTTCATCCATGGTTATATTAGTCGTCAAACCAAGGACAGATATGTCATGTTTTATTATACGACTAATTATATATAAAAAGTATAAATATTTATAATATCAAATAAATACCATTCGATTAATTACAAAATATATTTTCATAATAAATTGATTTGGAGTCATAAATGTAAATACTATTTACTGAAAATTTGGTCAAACTTGAAGCACTTTAACTAACACGCATACCATAGTTATGTTCTTTTAGGGACAGAGGCAATAGCTGTTAGCATTATAATAAAAATAAAAAGGGGGAACATGCAGCATTGCATTGCGGTTGCCTAGTTTTTCCCATGATCTTTTAGAAATGGTCGAAATGCATGAGGACATGCCGAGGGAGCAACTTGGGAAGTTGGGAGTACCAAGTGGGCATTCTTTCATGACAATGCAGGATCATGAAATGCGGAGAGGAAAGCCTTTATATCTAAATCAAGAAAGATACACAGCGCTGAGGTATCTGGTAATCAGTCCACATCCTTTCCTCTATGCTTTCTCGACTTGATGTTTTATTAGGAAAAAAACGAGACCCAACTTAGGAGGAACAAGACGTTTTTTTCATTAAGAAAATTTGCACCCAAATTCAAGCCGAGAGAGGACTTGAACCTGGCACACAATGCAACAATATGATCATTCAAGACCTGCATCTGTACTATTATCTCCTCACTTGCCTTCTTCCTTGCCCTCTCCTCCTCTAACGCCCTCTGTCTCTTCAATCCCCATTTGTCAAGCCCAACATCGATCGGGTTACGAATACCACGCTGTCTAGCAAACTCATGCATCTTGTTTTTGTGATGTTTAACGAATAGATTGACGTAGTTAGGTCCATATCCCCTCTTCCGTGCAATTACTTGCCTCCCCTTTAGTTCATCCAAGAACTTAGCTTGACCATCATAACATTCCCACCTACATTTTCTAGTGCTCTGTTCAAACAAAAAATTATATCATATATGTCTTAGCAAAAGAAACAAAATACGATTTCATGTTTACCACAAAAATAACCAACCTCATCATAGTCAACCATATGGCCGCAATAATGGCCTATTCCAAGCTCCAAAGGGACTAGACCGTAATTGGAGTTAACACCACATTCACACTTGACTGGAAGTGCTTTGTAAATTAACCTTTCTTTCTTCTTTTCCTTTGCCTTTGGTGGCTCCGGTCATTGATTCTTAGACCGTAGAGCCACTCATTGAAATGACACTTCACAAATCCATAACGCTACAAGAGAATACATTAGTACACGCACACATATAGAGATCAACATTTAAACAGATACACTTTTCACTTACTTCGTGTTTGTTCGGACACACAAACTCCAACGTATTCTCAGGGTTTATCACAACTCGATCTCCGCATTCGCACAGAGAAAGTTCCTCGAGTCGTCTAAATGCGGCTAGGTGCTTCTCCTTAGCCATCATTGGCGGGGGGTTAGGGGGTGGAACCTACCGCTGGAAGTGCTCACGTGGATGTCTCCCTCTACACCAATCGTCGAAAAGGAGGTACCTAGGGTCAAACTTGTCTGCACCGTCGATCCACTGAAAGAAAAAGCACCTCTCATGGTCCTACACAACAAGATTCCAACAAAATATTAGTAGCCTACTTACACAAAGGAAGAAAAAAAGATAATGGAAACAATTACTTACATTAAAATGACTGCATGTGTAGAAGCAACACGCCGTTGTGTCTGGATGTCTCGATTGAAACACGTCGGCCGGGAAACCATAGTCACAGTTAGGGACAGGGAGGTCAGAAGGGACGGGGGCATCTTTGCTAGACGCGTCGGGGTGTAATTCTCGAGGACGACCCCGTTTTCGCTAAAACTTCTCCAAATACATTTCTTGCATCTAACAAAACGGTTGTAATTTAACAAACAAAAATCAAAACATCATAAATTAATGTCAATGAGAACTATTTGCATTACAACAAATAAAATATAACCTACACTTTGGTGCAAACTCTATCTTAGATGCAAACATGAAAACTATATAAAAACTATACTTTGGTCAGTAAAAAATAAAATTTGGTACATCAATAGTGTGTTCATATATTTATTCACGTATAAAAGTTGAGATATAAACTCAAACAAGCAAAATTCTTATAAAAATTGACCTTAGATTATAAGGTAATCATAATTCTAACTAACCGATTAACTTTAACATTGGTAATCCTAATCCTTCAATCCAACGTTCTAAAGAACTCATATTTTTCTCCATACCCTAACTACTCACTCAAATTCTTCGATCCACCGTTGAGGCCGAGGAGGAGCTTCTTTACCTTGACAAGGTCGAGGAGGAGCTTCGGGGAAGGTAGGGAGGGTGCCGGCAAGGGAGGGTGCGACCAGTGGCTGCCGGCGACGGGCGCGGGCGTCTGGCGGCGGCGGGCACGTGAAAGGGAAAGAAAGGAGTGGAGAGAGAGAGTCGCGTCACGGGCCTTTATCGGGCTCTGCCAAGAAGATGCGCTATATGCGTCGGTGCCAAGCTGCCAAGTGATCTCTGCTGCGCGCAGCAGAGTGGGCCACGTCACCGATCGCTGCCATGGTGGCAGCCTGGCCGCGCCGCCATGCATGACGCGATAGAGTGGTTTGGCCACTCCATGTGAGTTGGCCCGTCCAGAACTGTTAGTTTTTTAAAAAAAACAGCGTCAGTTTTGAAAATAGTTTAAAAAGTGTTAAATATAAAAAAATACTCCCTTGGTATAGCGTTAGACATTAGTGATGGCAAAACGCCCAAACATGACGGCACACACGCTCTGCTCCAATCAATTTTTCATATATACCGTGACCGTCTCTCGCTATAAAAACTAATCTGATATTCTCATGGCTTGTGGCCTTGTGTTATCCTGTATAAATTGCGCTCTCTCTCTCTCACTGAGGTGGACTGGGCTTTGGGTTCGAGGCTGCTACGGACGGCCCGGCCCATATAGGATCATGGGAAAACATAATTGCAAAAGCTCATTCGATTTTTCCTACGAACGCATTGCTTGAATTTGTATTTGGACTTGGTCCATAGATCTAGGTAGGCCTAGCTTGCAAGGAATTCTGAATGACAAATTGCATCGACAGTCGAGGATACGATTTAAACTCTATTAAAACAGCTCGATTCAACACAACACAACACAAAACAGCTCGATTCACCACAACACAACACAAACACAAGCTCGCGTGATTACTGACTTCAACACTAAATTCTACAACACCGTGGTAAAATTATTCTGCTGCTACAATCCCTTGCTGACTCCTGTTACAATATAGGAGTACTTGTATATATACCAAATCAATACCTTTTTCATCTTTATACATGAAAAGAAGACACAACGCCGGATCGAACGGGCAACCATGCATGCAGAGCAGTAACAAATAATCAGCTGATCACCGCCAAACCACACCTGACCAACTCACCGACGCTTCCCTCCCAGTCCCGGCTTAGTCCTTCGTGACGACGGAGAATCCACCGAGTGCGATGATGGCAACGAGAGGCACGACGGAGGCGCAGACGACGCCCGCTCTGAACGCCCGACTGCGGCCTCGGCCTTGCTGGCCGGAGCTGGCCAGCCAGCAGGCCGTACCGACTTCGCCAAGCCCGGCAGCGAAAATTCCGGCGAGGGTGGCGTAGTAAGCAAACCTGTGCTGCTCGAAGACCACTCCGTGGGGCGATCTGTAGAATGCGGTGGCCGCATCCATGATCAGCGTGGCCAAGCCCGATGAGCACAGCCAGCGCTGGAGCTGCATGGAGTTGCCGCCGCCTGCAGCACCCGCAGCTTCGCTCGGGCTTATGCCGATCGAGAAGGCCATGTCGTCGCCGTTGGTGCGGCACAGCCAGCGCTGGAGCTGCATGGAGTTGCCGCCGCCTGCAGCACCCGCAGCTTCGCTCGGGCTTATGCCGATCGAGACGGCAATGTCGTCGCCGTTGGTGCGGAGCTGCAGGGTGGTCGACATGGCGGCAACGCGGCGGCACTTGCTGTGTGTTGGGCGGATGGGGCTCGCTCGGTGGTATTTATCTCGGGGGGGGGGGCAGGGGCGGATTAAACAAAGGCAATCGGGCGCGCAAAGGGGAAAAACAAAGCGTGTAGAGCGATGGCAGCGAGTCAAGCTTAATACGGCCAAATGGAAACGTGGGTTATTGAAAGGCCACGAGTGCAAAGCGAATGTTTTGTTTTACAGCAAGTCAAGCGTAATACGATCAAATAGAAATGGATCAATGCTAAAACTCAAACAGTAGGAGGGGTAAACCCGGTGGGGAGTTGGGTCCCCGTGCTTCATCGTTCCAGTTAGGATTAGTACATGGATCTTGTCCGTATATAGTTTCACGTAGTGCCAACAACATATACCATGGTTATTTTAAAAGTTGTCTCGTACTAACTTGTAGTACCTTAATTTGTACATAGAATAAAATTAAAGTTGTAAGTTGTATGGTAACAACTCATACAATGGTAGAATAGTTGTCTCATAGTCCTAAATTTTAGCTCATGAACAATCACCTCTTTCTTTTTCCCTCTCTCTTCCCTCCACATCAGCAAAAATCCTACTTGGCACTACATGAGACGGCGTACGAGACAGCTCACGTGTAGCAATGTACCTACCCTTAGTCCTTCACGTCACTGGGGTGTTTGATGCTTGTGACTAAACTTCACGTCGGATGCTTAATACTAATTATGAGTATTAAATATAGACTAATTACAAAACTAATTGCATAAATAAAGGCTAATTCGCGAGACAAATCTATTAAGCCTAATTTATCCATGATTAGCGAATGTGATGCTACAGCGAATGTGATGCTATAGCAAACATATGCTAATCATGAATTACTTAGGCTTAATAAATTCATCTCGGGAATTAGTCATGGCTTATACAATTAGTTTTATAATTAGCTCATGTTTAGAAAAAACCGTACTATAAAGGGAGATACAATGCGCAAGCTTTAATATGTAACCAAGTGCTCATTTATCTACCAAATATCTTTAAAGCCTTAGCCAAGACAGCAAGCTTTGCAATCCTATCTTTTATGCTGCCTGGCAGGTGAGACACTGCCGCAGTTTAGCCACAGCACTGCCACGACTTAACTGACCGTTGGGAGCCGGGGTATTTATACCTTCTCCTCTCTCCCACAACGATCACCTGTTTAGATCGATCATTTTCTTCCTAGGTGCGACCAAAGCAGCTCTCTCTCTCCCTCACTCACTATTGGAGCCCCTCAAGCTTATCCCTTTGATTCCATTCCAAATCCAAGAGAGTTTGAGCCTCTAAACTGCATTAGAGAGCAGCTGTGGGGGTATTAACCCCTATACCCTTATGGCTAAGCTTGGGCCGGCCCGGATCGGTGGGTCCGGTCCACCAAAAGACGACGTGCGACCCGGTTAACCTGATCGGAGTCCCGCGCAAGCAGTCAAGGCGGATTTGGCGATCAATCAAGATCCTGGTCGGTTAGAATAGGAATCCTTATCCGGTCACATATGACAATTGTAACTGGCTAGGATTAGTTTTCAGATCTGTAACCCTGCCCCCCGAACTATATAAGGCGGGCAGGGGACCCCTCTAAAAAACATCTCCCATTGACATACAGCAATACAAATCAGACACAGGACGTAGGTATTACGCCTTCTTGGCGGCCGAACCTGGATAAAACCTTGTGTCTGTCTTGCGTCACCGTCTTGTTTGTGGCTTGCGCATCTGTCTGCCAACAATCTACTACCTTGGGTATACCCCTAGGTAGACTGCCGACCATATTTTGTCGACAGTGGCACGCCAGGTAGGGGGTGTGCGTACTGCTTTCCAAGCAAACAAGATGGTCATCATCTCCGGCTCCATGGCTACGCCGAACGGCCTCACGTTCACCGTTGGCCAGATCACCTGGACCACCGGCTCCGACGACTTCATCGCCATGACCCCGGAGGAGGCGTGGATTCAGTCTGCGTCGACCACTGCTTCACCTACATCGGCTACGGCTCCGACCACGGTGGATACGGCTCCGACCACGATGGATGCGGCTCCGACCACGATGGATGCGGCTCCGACCACGATGGATCTGGCTCCAACCACGGTACATCTGGCTCCGACCACGCCTGCATCACCTTCAGCCACGCTGACAACTCGTCATCCGGTTCCCCGCTACAAAGGGAAGCAGATCGACAACACCGACCTGCTCGACTCCATCGATCGGGTCGGCACCAATCTCGCTGAAACCCTAGCTCTAGTAAGTATGATTCAAAGTCAGCCTAATGAGCAGGTAACCGCTCCCCACAACAGATCTACCCGACCAGCTTGGACCAGTCGTCCTGCACGACTTGGTACAGATCTCGTGGTCACATCTACTCCTCAAGGGCGCTCTGCTCGTCGCCGGCCAGCCTTCGCGACGGGTCTCTAGCTCTCTGAGTATGAAGCCTCGACGGAGAACTACCAGGTCCAGCCCTACGGCCTGCGAAACGCTGCCTCCAGGTACGCCTACAACCTACAACGCCGCTTGGATCTGTGTTTTATGCACCGACCTTAGCCGAAACCACGCAACTTCGTTAACATGATCCAGATTGAAGATTATCAAGAAGGATCCGTTCACACAGTCCAAGAGGGCGACTCCAGCTCCTCGTCTGGCACCGCATCTAATGCATCTGTCCACATCGAGCTTCAGCATCACGAAGATGAAGGCGTCAAGTACGATCTGGATATCCCAGACCACGCTCTGGGGTTCTCACAATTCCCGTCTTTCCTGCCAAGATGAGGGGATTTGATCCATGTTGTCAGCAATGATGAACCGCCGGCAGTTGGCGAAATAGAACAAGAAAGGACTGCACGCAAAGCACGCAATATTGACCGGTTTAATCGCTGACAAATCGAAGCCGAAGCAGACCAGGAGGCACGACGCATAAGGGTCCAGCCACGTGACCTCAATGATGCTTTCGACAGGGTGGGGGACAAACAGGTCTTCAGAACTCTAAGTGCCAACGTAGCCGTCGCCATGGCGACAATGCAACGGCTACCCAACACCCCGGAAACCCAAGCAGTTCACGATGAAATACAAGCCTATCTGACGGCTGCTATGGCCCAGACCGCGGAGATTGTAAACCAAGCTCGGGCTCCATCCGTCTCGGTCAAGTCAAGCCACAGCCGCCAGCGCCCAAGTCGCTCACAGCCGCCCAACCAACGTGGCTCGCGCAACAACGACCCATCAGACAACCGTCAAGGAAGAAACGATGGCCATGATGGTGGCCAGGACGACAACCGCCGTTGGGACGACAACCGCCGCGATGTCCGGGATGATAACCGCCGGGACAACCACGACAATCGCCGCGATAACCACGGTCGTAGGGCTAATCCAGATGGCAATCGAGATCACCGCGATGGCAATAACGATCTCCGCCATTACCTCGGTGGACGCGATCTGCGCGCTCGCATCAACCAGAGAGCCGACGATCGAGCGTCCCATGAAAGTTATTGCCGTATGGAATATGACACTGCCCACGGCCCGCTGGGTTTGAAGCAGTTTACTCCACACCTTCGCCAAGTCATATGGCCTAAGAATTTCAAGCTCGAGAAACTTCAAAAGTACGACGGCAAGGAAAACCCCGAATTATGGGTCATGCTTTACGAGACTACGTGCAGATCAGCCATGGCTGACGAGCACGTCATGTCTAACTATTTCCCAGTCGCTGTTGGCCATGCAGGTCACCAATGGCTGGTCAGCTTGCCGGTGAACTATTTCGACTCTTGGCAGGAGCTCAAGCAAGCCTTCATCGACAACTTCATTGCTACTTGTGAACAACCAGGCAACAAATACGATCTACAACGTATTCGAGATCGAAAAGATGAGCCACTACGCGAGTACGTCCGACATTTCTCGGAGATGCGCATCAAGGTCCCATCAATCTCCGACAACAAGGCAATCGAGGCTTTCATCACTGGCCTCTGCTTCCACGACGCCCTAAGGGACAAGCTCCTCCGCAAGAGACCTGATTCGGTCACAACGCTCCTAGCCACCGCTAAGAAATACGCGGACACCGACGACGCTAAAAAGATAATTATTGAAGAAGCAGCAAGGGTTCTGCGCTCCGACCACCCCCCACACCGCGACGACTACCGCGGCAACCGTGGTCGGAACGACAATTTTGACCGCCACAACCAGCGCAACGACTCCCGCGACCACCGTGACCAACGTAATCAGCGGCGTAACCGCCGTGACGATTACAGGAGCAAGCGTGCTCGGGAAGACGACGGCGAGGTCAACACTGTTAAAAAGGGTGGTGGACGTCATAACTATGAAGACGACTACGCCAAAGCATTGAAGGGGCCCTGCCAGCTCCATCCTAAGTCGAACCATACCATGGAGAATTGCCGCGTCCTCAAGTCTATCTACACGCGTCAACAAGCTCCGGATACGTCCGACAAGCCTAACAATGCAGGGGAACAGCGCAACGAGGATAACGACGATGATGATGCAGACCCTCATCACAAGTACATCAAGCCAACCGATCGCGTGCACACCATCATCGGAGGCAAAGTGTCCATCGAGACCAAACGAGAACGCAAGCTGCTCGCCCGCGCTTGCTTGAACGTGGCCAACACCGACAATCTCCTCACCGATCCGTGGCTCCCTCCGTGGTCTCACCGCGAAATCTCCTTCAGCAGAAAGGACCAATGGGCCGCAATACCTGAGCCAGGGCGTTTTCCCCTGGTCCTCGATCCTTGTATCAACAAAGTTTAGTTCGACAGAGTACTGATCGACGGCGGCAGCTCCATTGATATATTATTCAAGAACAGTCTGCCCGCCCTGAAGATAGCTCAGGCGGACCTCAAGCCATACGAGGCACAGTTCTAGGGTGTTCTCCCCGGACAGAGCTCTATACCTCTCGGGCAGATCACGCTACCAGTGCAGTTTGGGACCCCGGATCACTTCCGCACCGACTACGTCAACTTCGTGGTCGCCGACTTCGACGGCACCTACCATG